GACCTAACTGGCGGGGAAGAGAAGGGTCTTTCTCTCTCCTCAGAAACGATACCTGGGACGCCCCCTGAATGCCTACTCCCAGCTGCAGGAGCCGAAGACGACTGAGCATTGTCGTGCACCCTCGCACAGGGGAGCAGGAGAAGCAGCGCAGAAGAAATCTCAGTGGGTGGAACAACGACGCCCCAAAAGGTGTATTCTACTTGTAATCGCTGTTGCCTTCGCTCTAACTGCTAAGCTTCCGCAAGGTAGCGCTGAATCGTGGGCCCGACGGTGGGCCAAAGCACACAATGCTTCCTACTATTGCCTTCCTACTGGGGTAGGAGGCACTGATCCGCTAGCATGCTATATGTTCGTAGGGTACAAAGGCGGGGAGGACGGACAAGACTGTCCTCTGGCAGACTTCCTCAGAAACATCACTGGGATCACTTTTCCCGAAACACTTGAGGATCGGGTCATAGAAGTAAAGGTCAAACTGGCCAAGGGAGCATCAGAGCTTAGAGTAGAATCAGACCATGATTGGTCCAGATGGTGGTCTCCATTTCTAGCACGAGAAAACTTTACTTACTTCTCCCATCAGGCGAACTTTTCAGGGCAATTACAATACTTTAATGGGACGCACTGGCTAAACATTCCCCTAAGGTACAACGACCTTGACCAGACGCTCAAGGTGCCGAACGGAACCACGAGATATTTTTGCCAAGATAGGGAGTCCGCAAGGGAGTGGTCCGCCCCTGAAGATATGTTTAAATACTCGGGATGGGTCGGAAGCGGGAATAAGTCACAGAGTGCATTGCGTATGATAGCTGTAGCCTACCGACCCAAATCCGATATACCCATGAGCGAACGGGAGTATTACACCCCACTAAAGGTACCCTTGGGCTACCTCGGACAAAATCCCATATTAGTATGGATCAACCCAAATAGAACGGAACTAGGGGTGACATGGAAACCCGGAACACAGGTAGAAAGGGTACCCCCTTGGATAGAGGTGACAGCCAGGGTGCCAGGAAATGATACGAATATCACTCTCCCTGGAAGTCTCACTGCGGCAGATCTAAACAAGTCTATAGAGTGGTGGCTGCTACAGAGGACGGCTTGCCTAGCCTTCCCAGTGGTGTTATGGTGTGAAAGAACGGCTTATAGTTGCATACCGATAGGAAGAGAGCTCGGGCTCTGTGCAATAGGATATCTGCACCCGGCGGTGCTTCCTATACAAAGCGGGCGCCGAAGGAGGGACTCGGACCTAAAAATACTCGACGAGCCTGAGATTTTGTCAAACGGCAACTGCACGAGCATTGGACTACTCAACAGCTACATTACAGTGCCGGTAGGCATTCTGTCCGTCTTTATGCCCTGGCTTACGGGACTAGCCCAATCTGCCCAGATAGACATAATGTCATGCCTCATAAAGGAAAACAATGAAGCGGTTAGACAGCTAAGCAGAGAAGTTGCCGAAGGATTCAGGGACGTAGCAAGAATACTCAAGGCCCAACATGAAGCAATTGAGGTGCTTTTCGAGATCGTGCAGGCTGGGGGGTGTAGATCTCAAAGGTTCCGGAATTTGTCCTTCTGCTGCCTAACCACAGAGGATTATGAAAAGATAAGCAGACGGGCAGAAGTCATCCAGCGCATAGGGCACGATCTAACTAGAGTAATCGCAAAGAACCCGATAGGCTGGAATTGGTTAACAGACATCGGTGGGAGCGTATGGGCATGGCTGATGTCATGGCTCAGCTGGGATTGGTTATGGAAGCTAGGCATCGTAGCGCTGGTAGTGCTTGTAGTAATTTTTTGTGGGACACCGCTAATAACATGCATTTTAAGGCATATTATGCGGCAAATAGCTTCGCTGCGCAGATGGGACCGCTCACGGATGCAGTACCACCAGCTTGCTCAAGACCTAGAGCTTTAACGGCATAGGGAGGGGGGAAATGTTGCAGATCGTTAGGATAAAACTATAAGAATAGAATAAGATAGTAGTAAGAATAAGATAATAGTAAGAATAAGTAATTAGAATAAGATAAGAGTAAGTAGCAATAAGATAGCTGTATTTTAGCTAGTTTTGTTATGCATGAGGAGGGGGAGATGTGGGAGATGGCAAGCCAGATTGAGGCTGGCCATACTTACGCTAAACGACAGGGCCTGGCGCTCGGAAGATCTCGCGATGTACGGAAAGTGCAGGAGGAAACAGGCATAATCTATATAAGGCAAAGTATGTGAGCCACGCACGCTATTGGTTAACGCGCAGCCCTTCCGCATCGAGCACGAGCATAAAAGACGCTGACACGTGACAATAAACGCCATTTGAAGCATCCTCATATTGGTGTCTGTACTTCTTTGGCCCGTGCCGCCTCGGACAGCGGTCATCAGTTGCCAAACCGAAGGCAACACCTGGGAACACTGAGGGTCCTGAATCTCCTTGCCTCCTTCATGTCTCCTTTTCTCACCTTGGTCCCTGCTCACGGTACCCTAAGCACAGGCGTGCATGTGTGTGCATACTGTCCTGGTCTCCATGCATGGCTGAGGAGTGTAGAGACAGGCAGCCAGTACTCATGCCTGCTGCACTTGCGGGATGGAAAGGTTGAAGAAGGCTTGACTGCCTGAAGAAAGCAGTCACGGTGGCATCACCTTCTACCTCGGCAGTGAGACGAGCTCCCTGGATAGCTGGTAGGCACACGCGTATACTGAGGACTGCAGCTTGATGGCCCTGGAGAAGCTGCCAGATGAGAACAAAAGCTGTGACTCCATCTGTGTCCTCCATCTGCATAGCATGAGCACCTCTAGGTCTTTTGGTGATACCCAGGACCCTGCTGAGTCCCAGACCCAGGTGCACATGGTGGTGCCAAGATGAGCAAGAGCTGCAGTGTGCCACAGAAGACAGTGGCAGTGAGTGAAGACCCCTGCACTGCCAGGATGCAGCTGAAGAGTAACAGGCACCACAGCTCCAGCTCCAACAAGAGTGCTGATGGTGAAGTGAAATCCCTATCCAGTATGGAAACCAGCCGCAGCACCACGATCCTCGGCCACTCCAGCTCTGTCTCTCACAGTGGCTCTGTAATTATCATTGAGAAGTTTGTATTAGGACATGGCATAGAGTATCTGATAGCTTGCTGAAGAACAACCTCTATGTTTGAGCACGTGGGGAGGAGGGGAGGGCTGAGAGGCAGGCGCGCATTCCCGCGCAGCTGCGTGGCTGGCACCAGGGCCTGGCTGGCTCTGCAGGGGCCTGGCCACGGCCGTGCACCCAGCGGGGGCTCTGCCCGAGCCGTGGCTCCCTGGCGCTCACGTGCGGCTCTGAGCCCGTGTGGCCCTGGCTGCACAAGGAG